CATGCAGTTCATCTTGCAAAAGGATGAAAAGATAATCTCCTCAACTGATTACTAAGTATTTGATTGGTCATTATCTAATAAGAAACCTATCCATTGATTGTTGTACTACTTTAAGCACATGACTGCCTAATATTTTCCCAAGACACTTCATTTTGTGCAATACTCTTTCGCCCAGATAAAAGGTCATATTTTATTTCGCATGACTTGACTTCTTTTGAATAGTTCTTATGCAAACAACGCAATTGTAGCTTGCGAGTTGACTAAAGGGCGTACGCATGGATGGCGTAAGTAATGTTTGGTTGAAAGGAAGAATGTTTGGAGCACTTTTATGCAAAACCCCTTCTTCGTACTGAAAGATATACTCGAAGAAAAAACTGCAGTGAACAACCGAGTTCAATGAATTCTCTAATTTGAGAAAAGCACATCTTCTGGGGATACAGTGTTTTCTCCATAAGACCACAAGACTCTCTTTCGAGGATGCGTGCGCTCACCTATTAAGTTTCCCCTTCTTCACTAACACACTGTCAAAACTTCACAATGTGCACATAAATGGAAGATTCGATTATATCGTGAAGAATAGATGTGTGGCTCGCCATTCATCTTGATTGGCGTGCACATAAACAACAAACAAACGCAAATCCCATTACAACAACCTTACCTTTTATTGCTGGCAACTTAACAAGCTCTCTGTTAGACGAAACATTGAATAGGCTACTCGACTGCCGACGGTCGCGACGGGGGATAACGGGTCCTGAAATAGGAGATAAAAATAGAGGCGTTAAAGAGCTGAAATATGACACCAGACAATTGCTTTTAGTTTGCAAGACAACATTAGTCAATAACAATCAGTGAGCACACACTTACTGATTTGAGAAAGATTAACGTACCGAACTCCGCTCTCGCAAATGGAAATCCTGACATATTACCGATTTATCAAGGGGCAAAGTGGAAAGGAAAATAGATTGTATGATGAACCAGGCAAGATCAATGATGATACTTTCAGAACTTTGAGATTGACAGACTGCATGAAACAAAAATCTGTTGATCACACAAATTTAAACGCAGAGCTCAGCTACGACACAACTTTTGACTTCATTTACCCTTGCGCAAAAAAATTGGCATGAAAGAATGTAGCCATCCTACTTATACATTACTTTCCCTCGTAGAGGGTTAACGACGAGTGAAAGAGAAACCCATTAGTAATACGATCTCATGCTAGTTACTTCGACAATCTTCGCACTCTAGTCTGAGCCTACTGGTTTCCAAACTGCAAGCTTAACTGGGCCGCTCTTTGACCCCATGGATAGTAGAGACTTGTATAGTGCACATCTTTAAGGTACACCGGACATGTAGAACGAAACTTCATGTTGTGAACTGATTTAGCTTAATTTTATGTGAATGATAAATATTAGATTAGCAAACAAGACCAAAAAGGCATGTCAAGATTCAAGGGCACTCAAAACTCGTGAAGATGAGCAAAGCAGAACTCACCACCACCATATTGTGTCTTTTTAAGCAATGTTGGAGGTGGTGCATCTGGAGGTGCACCATTGTCATTAGCTGGAAATACACATTCTCAGCAAAAATCACTAAGAGAACAAGAAAAAGCCAAAAACAATATTGTATAGGATTCTAACCGCTAGTATCCTCAGTGCGTATTGTCGGAATCTCCTTTTGCTCCTTCTGTTCCTTTTGTTCTTTCTCCTCTTTCTTCTTATCTTTCTTTACATCTTTTTCCTTGTCTTTATCCTTGTCAGCCTTAATTAATCACACATACAGAATAACCTCATTAGCATATAGCTCGAACAGAAAATTACCTTCTCCTTCCCATCTTTATCCTTCTTCTTGCCCTTGAGCATTGTCGACGAAGCGACGACCTTAACGATATTATTTCAATCACCGCTATAACTCCAAGAAAGGAAAAAGGACTATGCTATTATGTTTTCAAAGAAAATGGCAATGCTGCAGGATGATTAACCACAAGGCCAGCTGACTTATTCTGTCTCGTCAAAAGCAAACATGGCGCATTTGATAGCTTCTGTACTAACAGGAAGAGTTTTACTATGAAGAAAAACGGTAATGGATATGCTGACTGTTGGCAATACCACAAGCTTTTCGTAATCAACTAGTATCTTGTCAGAGCTAGCATTTACCAATACAGTCAGGATGGATTCTTATTAAAGAGCGATTATCGCTAGTGATGACAGCGATATAAAATGTAAGTGGTGATCAAAAACAGAAATTACAGATAAAAAGCAGAAGAAATTTGACGAGTAAAACACGACAAAGGCTGCAATGCAGAAAATCTATGAAAAATAGATCCTAATACTCCTTCCCCAACGCGGAAATACGTGAAACTCCTCACTTCAAATTGTAAAGCGTGAAGGACTTCGCTGTTACACGCTCAAAAAAATGATGTCACTGCTTCTTTTGTCTCATGCTGAATTTGGGAAAGTAAGTAATGGATGATCATGCACAAAGGTTTGAAGCTTACAAAGCAAAAGTTGATCTTCATCGTTCTGGTCAGAAATTATTTGTTTATTAATGGAATGGAAGGGGTAGTACCGACAAATAAGACTAGCA